AAGGAGATAATCATTTGGTACTAACCTTTATCAAAAAAGGAACTAAAAAATGGTCAGACTATTTTTTAACATTGGTACTGCCATTGTTTAAGTATTTATTGTAGCAGGGCACAAGTGTTTGAATGCTGTTGTCAAAGAGCAATGCCACCTGCAATTGCAACCATTGGGTAACAACAAATCTGACCTCTTCATTGCCCTGAAACTGCTTGCCAGTAAAGGACTTAAGATGCTTGAAAAGATGAAAGTTATCATGTCATGGTGCTTATTCTATATTGCATGATTCAATTTTCTAAGTGTGTCACAATAATGTGCCACATTGACTGCTTGTCTGTGTGCCATGAAATCCACCAGCAAAACACTGTATGCATTAACTTGTGACACGTGATTAGTAGCTTGGCTTTCATCTGCATTAGCAATGATGTGTGCCCTCATTCCATTGATTGCAGTTTAGATTTCAGGGTTACCAGGTTATTGAGAAATCAGATGAGCTATCTTATCTTGTATGCGGCAGGATACTCAGTTGTTTTAAACTCTCACTAAACAAGTGAAATGAGTAATCAGAAAATATACCTGTCCTTGCTTGTCAATGACCCAGTAGAAAAATGCACTTGCTTGAATTAACAAACACTGCTATTCTGTACTGAAAATGGTAAACAAAACTTTCTGGATTAACTACATGTATAAAATTTCATAGAATGTATTTCTATGGTAGACACCATCATCAGTGTTTCTGTGTTTCGATGACTCATTTTCATCTGCATTAATATTGCAGACCAGTCAACTCTCTTGGTAAAACCTGGAGAGTTGACAACTATGTAACAGTGCTTGTAGTATACAACAGCTGGCAGTTTCTTGATATATCTCCCAGTTTCCTGATCATCATAATCTTGTTTTTAATTTTTACCTTTAACTAATTAAAGTCCTTTGAGCAATAAAACTAAATTTTAAAAAATCAAATTAAATTGTATAAATTTCATTCCCTTACCATTAAAAATCTTCAAAATTTTTCTTATTAAATTATTTGATCTGCAAAAAAAAAAAGGGGGGCGGCTCTATATCTCCCATTCTGCTAGGTGGATTCACAAAATTCTACTTGCGTTTTTCATGTCTCGGAAGCATGACTTAGGATATGTATTAGACTCATATATAGCATTGTTCTAATATAGGTATTTTGACACAAAATTTTACTTTTCTGAAATGACATAACAATTTTTTTCTATATTTCGATTCTACGACTCAAATTATGCCAAACTGCCAAGTTTTGTAAAAATCTCACCAGTAGCTTTTGAAAAATTAGCTCTCAAAATTTTAGCTCCTCAATGTTAATTGAATTTTATATATATTTATAAATGTCTTTTTTTATTAAACTTACTTGATTCCTTCTTCCAGAATTTAAGCCTAATCTAAATATCATTTGCACATTTTTTATGATTTATTTTTAAAATTTGTATCTGTAAATTTTTTTATAAATTTTCAAAAAAAAATTTGTATTACAGTCAAAAGTCTTTAATCCGGACTCGTCGGTGCTTCGGCGATTCTGGATTATAGATCATCAGTTTAAATATGGTAAGATGGCATGCAGAAATTATAAAATTAAAAATATGAAACCGTAATTTATGAAATAAAGAGCAATTGTGATCTAAATACCTGTATTTAAATACCTAAAGGGTATCAAAATTTACAAAAAAATCTTTATATTTATTCCTTTACTTTATTAAACATTTCTTTCAACGTGCACATGCGTAAAGCATACATTACACGTAGTCGAAATTAGAAAATTGCAACCAGAAAACTATTTGATGTGTATTTGGGATATTTATAATGAGGAGGAATTTGATTTAAATCATATCAAAGACGGAGTACATCGAATGAAATACTGCATTTATAAGGAATATAAGCCGAAATAAAAAAAAAAACATCTGCCCTGAAGATAAGGATAGTGCTGACAGATCAACTTCCAGTTTATTGCGTTTTGCGTCGCCCCCCCCCCCCGGCAGAGCAGCGTGAAATTAATAAACATATTTTGAAATGATTAGAGAATCAAAAGATATGCCTTTATCCATTTTTTGCAGCAATTTCCCTTTTTGTTGATGGACATCGAAACATGCTTTGGCTTTGTAGATCCTTAGGTAGCTCCAGAATTGGAAATTCTTTTTGAAATAATTCAAAGTTCAAGCTTACTTTTCTAAAATTGCTCTAACAGTCTGCAAAAAATAATAAGCCGGATCCAATTCGAAGATTAAGGAACAACGCAATCTGCAACATTAACTGAAATAGATAATTAAATAATTTTAGCTTAGCTTATACCTCCATTATACATTAAACGCGCATGCGTAAACGTATTATGCGCATGCCTAAAGGTATTATGTGCATGCGTTGACGCATGCACAGAAAGTTTGTATCTTTGTGATCCGGATTATAGATCATTCCGAATTATGGACGTCCGGATTAAAGACTTTTGGCTGTATAAACATATAACATTTTTAACATCATCCTAAAGTAGATGTATTTTTCTAGGCACACCTGCAATTAATTCCCCCCTACCCCTTCAAAATTTACTAGGACATATGTGATTTTATATATTTGTGCATTTTGAAATTTGGCATATTTGTTATAAGCGATAATAATGCCAAAAAGTGCTTTACGCACTTTGTCAAAATTATTTGAAAGCAATGAACGATGACCTTCTTTCCACTTGTCTACAATGAAAAAGAAGAAAAGGAAAATAGGTTGCTATAAATTAAGAAGTTTGCCCTGGCATAAACTGTAAAAAATATGCATAGAAAATTTTTTAAATTTCTCCATAAATTTCTCATTAAAAATTTAATACCTAGTCATATTTGAGTCATATGAGTCAAAATATGGAAAAAAAATTGGTGTTTTATTTCATAAAAAGTTCAATTTCGTGTCAAAATACCTATATTAGAACAGTGCTATATCTAAATCTAATATATATTCTAAGTCGCACTTTTGATATATGTAAAACACAATTTGAATTTCGTCAATTGGCCCAGCAGAACGGGAGATATAGAACTGTCTCCTCCTTTTTTCCCCCAGTGTGCATTTATAATTAATGTAATGTGTGGTACAATTAAGTTTTAATATTATTTTTACCATGTTTAAAAGTACTTTGATAAATTAAATCTTTCCTTCCTTACTCAGAATTTTCTCGGTATAAAAGAAAATTATGAAGTGAAGTTAGCCAAAGAACATAAAATTTAGGATTATAATTATATATTAATATATTTTATGTCAGAGTGATATTATAAATAGTTGAACAAACTGAATCATGCATTATAGTGTGAGTTTAAATCAGTTTTGAGCTCTTTTAAAATGGAGCTGCTAGGCAGTGAGAAAACCTTCTGCAATCTTTCAGTATTTGACATTTCAAGATTAACAGCTATGATGTTAACATTTTGCCACATTTCTTCAAAATTCTTATTTCTAATCCCCCTCCCAAAAGTTTTGTAAAATTGATTAATTTTATCCTGTAATGGAAAATATCAAAACTTCAGTGTTGCAATATATCAAACAGAATCTGCATTAAAAAAAGAAAATTTTGTCAAGGAAATTAACAAGAAAATTTTGTATCCATCCTAAATAAGAAATGAATGCAATTTGATGAAACATTCACTTCTTTGTCTAGTTATTAGGCTCATTTCTGATTAATGAAAAAGTGTGATCAAATTATCTCCATAATGTTATACATTTACAAACTATGAAGAAAATTTTTGCTTGAAACTTATTGAACAATTCTTGACATTCATAGAAGCTTCCTTTCCATGAAGTTTTTGAAAGGCTTTATTCAAACAGCTGGGTAAGATATATAGTATATATGTGTGTGATATTTTAGCAGTCGTGGACATGAATGACGAAGCTTGGCATCAAAGTCTGGACATTGCTGTGTTTCAGTGTTAAGGCAGCAGAATGATGACACAGAAGGATTTTACTTTTAATTGCACATCTTTATTCAATTCCAATGGCAGATAATCTTTCTTTTAAATGAAATTCTCCTAATTACATATCAAATACTGTTTCAAACTAAATACGATGAAATCTAGGCTTTTGATGTCATAACTATTCTAACAAAGGGAAGAAAGATGAGAAGTGCTGCACAGATCTTAGCAGCAGAGGGAGAAAAGAGCTTCTGACTCAAAATGGTGAGAATTCATTATTTATAGAAGTGGTTATGTAATAGGCTCGAATGTTCTGGAAAGTACTGGTCTAGGGAGAAGATCCTGAATTGCAGAAAGTTAATTAATTGTAATAAAAACAAAGTCAGAAGTAACTCAAGAGCAGGAGGAGGAATTTGGATGGCGTAGATCCATAATGACTAGAAAACTGGTTGCGAACAGCAGTGCCGCTAGGCAAAGCATAGAAAGCAAGTGTGTAATGTTCATGATGAAATCTTAAGTCCAACTTAGTTAGTTTTGGTTCTCAAAGCATTTTGATTGGACAGTTAATATTGCTGTAAATTTATTATTGGCTGGTTGAGTTTTAGTTCCATTTACATCATCATAATTACTCATATGACATAGATTTTTCTTGAAATGATGCAATGCAAATAGATGTTTAGAATAGAGAAGGGAAATTAATTTACACTGCTAATTTAATCTTTAGCATATTCTTCATTTTTCTTACACATATATATATAAAGAGTTGGTATTCCAGATTATATGATTAAAAACTGCTTTGTATCAACATAACCCGTAGATTTGATTAAAATTATATTTTGTTCATATCTATCTGTAAGTTGCAATGAAATTTCCAATGGGATGAGCATTTTTCATAAAGATGAAAACGGATATCTGGTAATTGCGACTTTTAAGATAAATCTGCAGTGAAGCCTAACTTCAGGTCAAAATTTTAACAATTTTTATCAGAACTTTAATGAACTTAATCAGTCTGCAGTACTTAAATTAAAATACTTTTCTACATTTTCGTATTTTTAAAGTTTTATTATTAGGACACTTATGCAAATTAATCTAATTTATTTCCAGTTGAAAGGATATGAATCTGATGGAATAATGGCTGAAGTCAATCATATTTTGAATGTTCTGGATCTAGAAGTAAATCGCAAAGTACCTGCTTACTCTTTGGTACCTAGCTGGCGAAGAAAACTTAGCGTGGGAATAGCTTTGATTGGTGGTTCTCAAGTATGTAAATTTAATGTAATTAATCTTATCTACTGTAAAATAAAAAAAAAAAAAAAAAAAAATTGAACACTTATTTCAGATGTTAAGTCATTAAAGAGGTGAGGAATGATTTAAAAGGAATTTAAAAGTTGAATATTCTGCTTGCCAAACAAAATGCAAAAATATTCACCTCAAAAGGAAAACAGACTTACTAAACATTGAAGATTTAATTTCAATATTTAATGAATGCGAAACCAAATGCATGCATACACATTTAATTTCTTATTTATATTTACATATAAAATTTTACTTTATTTTATGACAAATTAAGTTTAGAAGTTCTATTACTAAAATGTAAAACTCAATTAATATTCCTTGTACATTTTCTACATTCCTTGCAAAAATTTCATTGAATATAATTACTTTATTACATGATATTGAATACAAAAACCTAGAATATTAAAATAAAATGAACATAAGAAAATCATTAAAGGCAAATTGTTTGATGTCACATGCATGTAAAATTGTTTGAAATGTGTTCAGATGTAGTTAATCATATTCCAAAAAACAGCATTTTCAGATGAAGCTTAGGAATGAGAAACAGTTGGTAGCCTCAATATGAGTTAAACATCTCCAGAGAGCTGAATATTTTTTAAACTGTGCTATCAAGGATTTAAAACTGCTTTTTTAAGCGTAGAAACAATTAATGTTCTTGTTGATCAAGCTCATTTAAGGGTAACTTCAGCATCTGACTACCGTTATATGTCACTGCTGGTATGAAGAAATCATTATGCATTTGCTAGACATTTGGCTTGTGCCTGTCAGCTAGAGAGACAGACTAAGGGCTTCACAAGTGTAATTTATTTTTTTCCTTCAAAAAGACCACTACACTGAATTTCACTTTATGCATCTTCTAGAGGATATTGTTCATGGTGGTATCCTTTTCATTATCAGTGGACCATAATGACTGGACCCAAATACTTTTCATGGAAGAGTACAGGTTCTATATTTAAATTGTAATTCTGGGTGTATTTTCATTTGAAAGAGCCTAGAACATGCAACCTTCCACTACAGGTCCATGAAAGACACTATTTCCATGGTGGCAGTTTACTTGTTTGGAGAGGGTTCTAACAAACAGTTGTATCAAGTTCCATATCATATCATAACATAAGGAGGGTGTTTGTACATATTTAGAATGAAACATTAATTAGAAACCCTCTGGGACTTTTAATTAATGTTTAAAAATGTAAAGAGCATTTTTTTTAAATCTTTTATCTAATAGCCTTTTTTTCTGGACAATAGGTCTGCATTGTGATTTTCATAATAGAAGAGATTTTCTTAAAATTTCCATGGGTACTGATTTTTATTCCTTTTCCACTACTTTCCAGAGTCCAACATTCATGTTTGATTTGCACTTAAAAAGAGCTCTTTTCAAGAGATAAAAGTCTACTGGAAACTCTTTTGACTCACCTTAGAATTAGTCACATTCAGCTGTCACATAATAACCTTCTGAAAGCTAAGAGGAGCAAATTTGCTTAAAATGTAATGTCGTTTTATTGGTGAGACATTTTTTAATAGAGTGTGCATATTTTGAGGGACATCAATCAAAGTATTGCTATGACTTACTTCTTGACTCTTTATCCAGAAAAGAGGTCAAATTTAATTTATTTAATTGTTTAAGAGAGATTGGCTTTTATTATCTAATGTGATGTAGCTTTAATGTAATCTATTGCATTTTAGTGTATGTCACATTTTGTGCTTTGACTTCATTCCCTAAATTGCATGCATATGTTCAACATCACCTTATTCATTAATATAGCTTTTTTATAATTATTTTATTTTGTGAAGTAGGTTACATTTAATTTATGTTTGATGCATTATACTCAGTTTTGTTTTTGCACTGGTAATTTTACTTTACCTACCTACCACGTATTGACTGCTACCTCTGTTGATTCCATTGGCAACTTTTTTTTTTTTTTTTTTTTAATTTTGTTTGTTTTGTTTATGAAAGCTTTGATACGTACAATTTTCCTAAAATTGAGTCTTTGCTCTTTATGAGTCAGAAAGAGCTGTCTCATAAGCTGAACTTCCTTTCTGTTTTGAAATTTTCTTTTACAGTGAAATCATCTGATTTGATTTGTTCTCACTTATAGCATTAATTGATGCTGAATACCATATTGAGAAATAATCATGCCATATGTTTATGGTACACTCTCAAAGCACCAACTTCTTAATCAAGTTCTTTTCTTTTTAACCATTAACCAGTCATGGTTATTGCAAAATTCAATTTTTATATTACAGTGGCCAGATGGTATAGTGGTTAGGAGAGCCTGACTGCGATACCAAAGAGCCTGGTTTCAAATCCTGCAGGAGGCATGGATGTAAAATTGTCTGTCCCTTCATAGGAGGTAATGGTGGCTGCCAATTTGGTGCCTCCACAATAAAATAGCCACCCACCACTTCTGGTCTTAGTAGTGACCAATGCCGTTCCAGGCAACAGCTCGCCAATGGGGGGGGGAAATTTTTTATTACAATTTCAACATTCAGAAAAATCCTTGGATTATGTGTTTACTGTCCATGTGGTGTACTGTAGATATTGTATCAAATAATACCATTATCTCATCTGTTGTTTTTACAGAATCATTATTCACTGTAGACTTCTTTGCTTGCTGTCAGTGTTATTTCCTAGGATTTTTTCGAAAGAGTAAAAATACTCCTTGACTTTTTTTAGGAGGAGTGAAATGCATTTATGAGGAGTGAAATACGGAAATAGCATAAACTAGATATACAGAGACAAGTTTTCTATAAAGAAACACTTTTTTAATGGACAAAATGAAATAGAAAAAAAATTAGGATGCTATTTTGGTTTTTGACAATTATAGCATATGTTTAGTAGAAAATATTAAACATTATAAATAAAAGAATTTATTTTACATTAAACGTTCTAAATGAAATATTTATTTAATATTACAAATTTAATATCCTTTTCTTCTGATTTTTCCACAATGTTACAGCTAATTTCCTTACAATATCAAAACTCTCAAAATTAAAGTTACAAAAAACATTTATTCTTGGTTACATAACAATTTTAATCTCTTTTTCCCCTGATTTCCTTACAATATCACTCTTTCAAAATTAAAGTCACATTTTTTTTTTTTTTTTTTCCTTGGTTACATTAAAATTCCCATCTCCTTTTCCTCTGATTTTTCCACAAGGTTACTGCTCTTTCAAAATTGAAATCACCAAAAACATTTCCCCTTTGTTCTATGAAATCTGGGCCTTGCTCATGTATTCTCGTTAGAATTTCAAGTTGTTTTTTCCCCAGTCTATTTCTCCTATTTTGAGTAGAAAAACCTCTTTCGCAAACAGCCGTTGACAAAGATATAGTCTATTTCTGCCAGGGCTGTCAATCCTGTATATAAGAGTTCACCGTCTAAACTTGATGAGAACAACAAATTGGCAAACTGTTTAAATTTAAATTCTCTGTAGCGTGCATAAAAACACTCTACTTCAAGGTGCTCTTGCTTTAATTCTTCTGCTGAAACACCCAAAACCGATGTAGAATCTGACCTATAATAATGTTTAATAACATTATCTAAGGACTCCAATCTTTATAATTTTGTGGTTGTAACACAAGAGGGATTCAACAAAACATCAAAATCCTGCAAAAGATGCATCTGCTGCAAATTAAATCTTTCTTGCAGATTCTCTATCAGTACACTCAAAAAAGCATTTTTAGCACTTATGAAATCATTTAAATATTTAGTAGAAACAGATAATTTAATATCTTGAATTCAATAATACCCATTATTAAGAGCAGACTCTAAAAATTCCTTTAGATGACCTTCCTTCTTTTTCATTTCCTGCATGTGATTAATAGTTGATTCTAAACTATTAACCAATACTCAGAAGTCCACATCAATGCTCTGAAAAATTCTACTGACTTTGTTCATAATCAGTAACACATCTCTCAAAAATGACAAGGTGGCTGCAAATTAAAATTGTTAGCATTGTTTAAGTAGTCCTGAGCCCTTGTCCATGGATTGCTTGTTTTTTGTTTGCAATTATTCTGTCAGGCAAGGATCACAGCATCATACTTATATGACACGCATCAACTGCATTCCCAAGTGACAACCATCGAACAGCATTTATGTTTTGAGAGTTATGTTTGGCTCATTTAACACATGTTGCATCAATTTCAGCTTTTCAATCCTAATACTGGACATGTGACAATTAAGCATACAATGAACCTAAAATTCTCTGGCAGCTTTGAAACAGAGATGTTCCATCAGCAGCTTGCGAAACAGCTAAAGCTAAATGGTGAGATATGCAGTGATAGTGCAACAAACCAGGTATCATATCCTGAAATTTTTTTGCCACGTCCGTTGTTTTTTTTTTCCCATTATAACAGCAGCACCATCTGTTGACAGTCCAACAACTTTGATAACGGTACTTTTTTTTTTTTGAGAAACTTTTTCATTTCTTTCAGTGCATCTCCATTGCATTCACCCGATAGTTTTAAATTTGCCCAAAGACTGTTCTGACTTTGTTTTTCAAATATTTCCCATATATAATTAATTTATGGTCAACTGAAATATCTGTTGACTCATCTATCATTAAAGAAATATAGGGGCTTTGTGAAACATCCTCATCCAAATTTGATTCTAATACTTCCGAAATAGCGTTAGTTATGTCTGTAGCTGGATTTTGAAATAAATTCGAGTGAGTCTCTTTCACAGTCTCATTTCCACAGAATTTCATAAGCATCATTAAAGGCTTAAATTTTGTTAAAGGAAGTTCTTCTTTTCCAATAGTGTAAACAGTTTTGAACATTGCCAAATAGCCATCTGTTGCTGTAGATATTTCCTTTTCGATGATATTTTCAAGAGCTTTAGCATCTTTTTTGGCATTTAAAGAAAGTTTTTAAGTAGTTTTTTTCGTGGCGAGACAGAGAACTTCTTTGGAAACATGATGAACCCATCACACCCATGCCATTCTTCACATTGGCAGAATTTCATGTTTTACAAAACATTTTATTTTCCTCTTTACCCAAGGAAATTCTTAAAAACTTATCATGTTTAGAAGTAATTTCTTCTGGTTGTTCATCAATCTTTGGTTTCTTAGCTGATGGTTCTGAGCTGGTTGACACTTGGCTTGAAGGTATTTTTTATAAAAAAAACTTTTTGATGGATTTAGAACTTACATTTCAATATTTAAATTAATTTTTCTCCTGGAATAATTGCTTCGGTCTCGAGGGGATCACCCTATTGAATTAAATAATTTTTAAAAATTAGTTAGTTAGAAACTAAAAAATATTTTTGATGTGCTTCTCCTAAAAGCTGATCTCTTGTAGAAACTTTCGTTTCGTTTTGCAGACTGTATGGAATTTCTTAAATTTAAAGTTTTCTTCATATGTAATCTTAATTTCGCTTAAAACATTAATTTTTATATGAAAGGAATTTATCTTATAAGCGCAAATACAAATTACAATTGTTTTAAGAGCGACATTTAGTTAAAATCAGTAATGAGTTTGCCGATCTCGTGTTATCAAATTTAAACAATAAGAATAATTATGCTTCTCTCTTACAAAATATTTCAAGAAAACAAGAGTATTTACAGCAAGGTTTGTACAATATGAAAAAATACTTATTTTTGCCCAAAAATCGGTAAAAATCTCAAAATTTACGCAAAATACTCATTTTTGGATAGATAGATGTCAGCTAAATATTGATTTTCGCATGGGGTGACTCTTAGACGAATTAATTTCATATAACCAGAACGTTAAGTCCCGATTTGCCCACTAGAAGATTGCAAGGAGATGTCTATTTATCACAGCCAACAATTATCGATGCAATTCCAATTTTTGTACTGAAAAATGTGATAAAATTGCTATTTTTTTAACTGAAAGATAGCAATAAAAACATCCAGATTTGCACTATAATACTAGTGAAGATCATGAATTTTTTAAAAAGAAGATTGGAAGTAAAATTTTATTTTTGTACTGGTAGTTCTCGGTAAAATTTCGACTTTTTTCCTGACTAGCGCAGAATAATGAAAGAATTAAAAATGCAAACACTTATAAACATAAAAATAATTTAAAGGCTTATTAGAAATCATGCTAGAGAAATTTTTAAAAAAACTTAATTACCTTCATATATGCTTTTACTTCGCCTTCAATTTTCTGAAGATTTTTTCCATCTCGTAATGTGAAATTTCACCGAACTCCCAAACCACGTGTGTCGATAACCAATTCTACTATTCGAACAACCATCCAGTAACATAGAATGCGTGATGAAATCAGTGCTCATAAATATACAAGGAAACTTCAATTTTATTAGTCAACTTCTTTCTTCTACCCTCTGGCTGTGATCCCTGAGTCAGCACGGCGGCGCCAGAGCCACGCCTATATTCTTTGTCGCGGAGAAGTCGGGCAAAAATGTCACAGTGGTGTTTTGAGTAGAAACAAATATTATTTGTTGATTTCGGTGGGACGCTATGCATTTTTTCGGGGAGTCTGTATGTTCTCAAAGAAAAAAAAAAAAAAAAAACTTTGTTAAAAGTTCAATGCTTCAAAATACACCTGGCTAGTTTTTTAAAGCGTATTTCCGATTTTCAAACGTCTGAAATACACTCTCAGAGGCGAGTAAAATATCTCTGCTTGCTGTGATGCTGTAAAATGGTAATTTTCCTGTTCCTATTGAAATACTGCTGCTTTTATAAAGTGATAGGCCAAACTCTCTTGGTGTAGAGAAATTCTTGGTTCTCTTTCTCTTGGTGTAGAGAAAAATGAACATTAATATTGCTAACCACATCTCTTTATAGGGGCACCTGGCTGCAACCAGAGAGTTTTGATATATAGGAACTAATCATTGGCTTAAAGAAGACTTTCATCTGTTTGCCCCCTTTTCCAACAATCACCAGTTATGCTAGCGATCTAAGTAGCATGTTTGATGCTCAAAAATGCTCCATTTTTTTGTGAAAAAACAGCATTTGTAATGAATTTAAATATAACTGATCATCTTTTTTTATCAATATACACTACATAAAACTTAACAAATCATATAAATATATCCATAATATGCTGAGTTAATTTAGCAGGAATTCAAATATTTGTTTTTTTTTTTTTTTTTTTAATTTTTCTTTCCTTTAGATTCAAAAAATGTTGAGGGGTATACATGCACCTATGTTTTGCCAGGAAAGGAAAAACAAGTACTGGACAGTTAGTTACATTAATCATTCTTTTTTAATTTTATGGCTTTATTATTATTATTAAAAGAAAAATGCTGTGTCTTTGAATCTTGTCAACTATTCATCTCATCTGTTGCTGTGAAGATGAAACAAGAAAGTTAATCCATTTCCTTTGTATTTTTTCACTTTTGTTCTTAGTCTCTTAATTTAAATGGTGGCTGTGCACCCTTATTTATCTATTTTGTTTCAAAATTTTATAACTTCCATGTCTTTTTTCATATCATATTTTCCAATTATAAATTTTGACTTTTTGTTGTTAAGCATCCCTCATCCTTTAGGAATTTAATTGTTGCAATCTTGGTACATTTTATATTATGAACCTAATATAGGATTCGCATTTTATTTTCTTACAAAAGTTATGTTGCAAATAAATTCTTGCATAATGTGGCAGAAGATTTTCATTACAGTGCTGTCAGTGTTGGTTGTCCTCGTAAATATTAAGACTGGTATACTTGTACTGTGAAGTAAATTTTAATTCATAAAAGAGTTCAAAACACTTTTAAAATGCACTTGCTTTACATGCAAATATACCTATCAAGAAAAGAAGTATGTTGATTATGCATTTAGTGTTTAATAATTACAATTATAATCTAATTTTCTCATTTCAATTTATTTTAATTTTATGAGTATTTGAGTTAAATTCTTATAAAGCTAAAATATTAAATCTCAGACAGCTTATAATTATATATGATATTAATTGGCCATTTTGCTCTTAATTAATATGAAATTATAATGATAGGTAATATATTTAATTGTAAATTAAATCAAATTTTACCATGTAATTTGAAATATAACTATCATGCATCCTTATGTGTATTTTTTTATTTATTAATAGATTATTATTTTAATGTAAGATATTAAATAACTTTAATTAATGGCAATGAAGTTTTTTTAGAATTTAAAGAATTTTTAAGGTAATGATTTGCTTTTATAAGTGGTGACAAGAACATAGGTAGAGTGTATTGTCATATGCATAACTAATGTATATATATTAGATACTCTGGGGTTATATTACAATTTATTCTAACAATTGATCTAGGATTTATATAACTGTTAACCCCCTCTCCAGGTGGTGATAATAGATGAACCAACCAAGCATATGGACTTCTTCTCTAGGAGGATTGTATGGGATGCTCTCCAAGCGGAAAAAGTAAAACGTACCATTTTGATAACTTCAAGTCATATGAAAGAAGCTGAAGCTCTTGGGGACAGAATTGCATTAATGGATAAAGGCCATCTTCAATGCTATGGAACACCAAAATTTTTTAAAAAAATCTATGGTTGTAAAAAAAATCTATGGTGTATTTTTTTTTTGGTATATTTATCAGTGATTAAATTAATGTGCATGTATATCAGGTGTTTGAGAAAGTTGGAAATAGGCTTTGTTTTATAAAGTATTTAATCTAAGGCATATACTTCCAATAATAAAGTTTTTCAAACTAAGGTGAAAAATTTTACAATTTTTAAGAAGACTTATATTTATTAATAATATTTTTGTACACTGTGTGAGGGAAAACTAATTATAAAATATAAATTTGTAATAAATTAAATACAAATCACTCCATATAACTTAAGTCCAAAATTTGCAGAGATATGCGTGATTAATATTTTCAGAAAACCATCTACAAATTTAATAATGAATACTGTCTTGCATAATAAAAAGTATTAATTACCAAAAATGAAAAATTATTTGTATTATACTTTTTTTTTTTTTTTTTTCTTAAACTTGGTCACAAATACTGAATTTCAATCAAATATAATCATGTAAAAGCGATTCAAGTTGATCAAAATGTGTTAGCTATCTCCATGAGTTTTGCTTATAAATATATGAAACTTTTATATTTCAGTTTTTGAAACATATTGAATATTTTGTTAACTGAAATTTTTGTTCTGCAAGGATCGTATGAAGTTTTAGATTTGTATAAACTTGGATTAAAGTAATTTGCTTTAATCTTTATATCCATAGTATCCAGAATGATTTCCATGTCATTAAAAAAATTAGGAAGTAAACTATTTTAAAGAATAAGATGTCAATATAAGTATGTCAATATAAAGAATAAGATAATTGTATGTCAAGTAAATATGATGATACTACATATGTGGTCAAGCCACTTGAAAGGTTAGAAAACTCAAGCCTATGGACATCTTTTTTGGACCACCCTATATATATGTACAAAAAAAGAAGAAAATATAATATAAATTTATAAAATTTTTGATTTTGTATTACAGGAGCTGGTTATCACTTAGTCATACAAAAAGAACCATTTTGCAATGTGTCTAATCTTAGTGAACTTGTCTTTGCTCAAATTCCTGATGCTAAATTGTGTTCAGATGAAGACGAAATAACTTATCTATTACCTCCTGCTAGCTCTCATATGTTCTATTTCTTGTTTTATGATTTGGAAGATCAGAAAGAACAACTTAATATAGGTACATTTAAGATAACAGAAATAACATTAGAGGAATTATTTGATAGGTAAAGTACAGCACTTTCTTTATTAAATGCACTTTTATTATCTTAGAAATTTAAGTTTCAATAATATTTCTAGTTTCTCATTATTACTTAACTTTTGTATAATTTTCCTTTGTGTGTGTTTTAAAAATAGCTAACTTAATGCTAAAGGTAAGAATTTCAGATTTTCATCCAGATATAGTTAAATCAAATTTTATTTTGGTTTAAGAATAAGCTGGAAATTTTGAATTCGTATTTTAACTAACTTCATATGATGCTATGACAAAACGTTTTTTTTTTTGGGGGGGGTGTTTGTTTAGCTTGTTTGTTATGATTCACTGCTTCATAGATATTTCTGTATTTTTTCCTCATATGTTAACATAACTTTGAGTTGTTTTCCTTCAGAAGGTTTTCTGTGAAGGGACAACTCATTTGTTAGTTAATGAGCACATGATAATTTATATGTGATCATTGAAAAAATGTAATTTTTGTGAAGTAAATTATATGTCAGATTTGTCAAAATGCAGAAGAAATCAATTCATTAAATTAGTTATGATGTAGGATATATTGGGTCATATAAAAAGTCTCCATGCTTTTTTGGTACATTTTTGAACAAAAATTTTTGTTATTGAAAATCAATTTTAATCAAGCACATATTGACCACTATTATCTATGACCTTTTTGCCATTTTTCGGATAGGTACATAATTCCATGTGTGTAGAACTTCTGTAGTTATCATAAAAAAAAAACTTGTCCAAGTTATTTTCAGTGGCACTTTGGTCAGTCAATTTTTCACCATCGAAAGAGTTTTGCAAAAACCGAAACAAATGGTAGTCAGACAGAGCAAGGTCAGGGCTATACGGTGGATGCATCAAAACTTCCCAACCAAGCCTCCGTCAATTTGTTCTGAATCATCGAAGATGTGTGTGAACACGCATTGTCGTGATGGAACACAATTCTCTTTCTGTTGGCCAATTCTGGTCGCTCTTTCTGGATTGCTTAGTTCACACGGTCAAGTTGTGCACATTACAGGGCCAAAATGATGGTTTCGCCAGATAGCAGCAGCTCATAATGGGCAGTTCCTTTCCAATCCCACTAAACACTCAAAATAACCTTATTTGGCAACAATCCTGTCTTTGAAGTCATTTGTGGATGGTTACTGGCATTTAACCATGATCACTTGCATTTGATTTTCTCATATTTCACCTATTTTTCATCGCCTGCAATGATTCGCTTCAAAAATGGTTCAGTTTCATTGCGTTTCAGAAGTATTTCCCTGATGGTAATTCGGTCAATCAAATTTCTTTGCATTAATTCATGTGGCACCCAAACATTGAGCTTTTTTTTGTAGCCTGCTCTTTTCAAATGATTCCAAATTGTTATGTGGTTGATGTTTAGTGCCTCTGCTATTTCCTGACAGCTTGCGTGCCAGTCATGCTCCACCAGTTGCAAAATTTCATCAACTTTTTCAGTGACTGGTCGAGAGTGAGGTGCAGCTTTGACATAGAAATTTTCAGAATGGAATCTAGCGAACCACTCCTGTGTCCTTCGTTTACTCACAACATTCTCACCGTATACTTCACTAATTTTTCAGCATGTTTTTGCAGCATTTGTAACTTTTTCGTAGAAAAAATGCATTACATAGCATATTTCTTCTGATATTTCACTCATTTTTCAAATTCATATAACTTTTTACACGAGCAACAAATTAAAAAAACTATCTTTATAAACAATGGAAGCTGAATATCACCTTTTAAGCATATGTTTGTTTGAGATAATTGAGTGAGTATTGCCGGATATATAGGCATCAACAGCATCTAGTGGCAAAAAAGCGCAGACTTTTTATATACCCAATATTTTTATTTTTATTTGTTTATGTTTTTAATTCATATACTGTATTTACTTGCATATTCCTCCCTTTACTATATGAAAAGCAAAAAGGAAAAATTATGCAAGTAATTTAATTTCCAAAGGACATGGGTGCAATACAAAATGAAAAGTATTCATGGGTAAACTACTGGTCATTATCACTACTGGTCATTATTTACCTAAAAGAAACTTATATTCCATTAAGAGTACACAGTACATTAACATTATTCTGTCTAATAAGATATCCTCATTTCTCCTTCCCTGTACTATATCTCATCATCATTTATTGTCATCGTCTTCATCACCATTCAGTCTCTCTTCCCACGTAAAATAATCTTCTGAATCATCAAGAACATTAAATATCTCTGTTTTCTTAAAGCTGTTCACTATTGTTGCTTTATCAATCCAAGATCAGGCACCCAAATTCTATGAATACATCAATTAGTAAAACGAAAATATTTAACAGATAAATAATGATTATGGGGACGAATCTGTTTCAAAATTTAGAAGGTCGCTTTCTGAACATCTTGAGGAATGGAGAAATTACATATATACTTAAAATAATTTCAGAAACTTGTACTAAAAAAAATACACTAGTAAATATGGTAAAGAAATATAGGATCACTTTTCAGATTGAAGGGCCATTAGTTGTTTGGACTAAAGTATGTCTGTTAACTTGAAAGTGTTTGTTTATTAAAACTCTTTTTGAAATCTTAAATATGATTATCCTAAACATTTTTAAATAATGTTGTTTCCATTAAATAATAAAATAAAATCTTTTTCTGTTGCAGTGCATCTCTCAATCTGTCTCCAGGAACTTATGTAAAAAACTCTTTAATGAAGAAATTTGTTAATCCAATTGAAGAAGCTTTCAGTAATTCTGGTATATCTAATATTTGTTATCTAACTTGAATTTTTAAGTATTGTCTTTACAAGACAAAAGAGAAATACACTAAAGTAAAACATAAATTAGCAATGCAACAACCTTGTGTTTGGCATAGATTTTAGTCAAGACTCTGTCAATTTGGAGAACAACCAGGTCCCTCTTCATCAGGAGCAAAGAAATCTGCAGCAAACAGAATGTCACAGTTGTATTTATATCCAAAAAGAGTGAAGCAAACGAGAAGGTAGCACCATCTATCGGCAAAAATAGTAACGAAATTTGTAAAATTAAGTTAATCAAATTTTTTTATATTCACTTAATTTTTCAATTTTGGTTACTATTTCTTTTGTGTATAAATACAACCATCACTTTCCCTTCATTGAAAATTTCTTTGCTCCTGATGACAAGGGACCTTTACTTGTTTGCTGTTAAAATCGATAGAATCTTAATTAAAATCTAACTAACTTTTTTTATTAGAAAATATTATCAGTTATGTTCAATATAGTGATTAATGCTTCTGAAAATGTTACTATTTTCATTTAACTGTAGAATCACATCCATAAAACCAAATGCGAGAGTACATTGTGAACATTTCCTGATCCTTAAAATTTTTAATTTGTCTTTCATATCACAGAAGTACATCTCTTGTCGACATAAGAAAATTCATAATCTAAAAATCATTAATGATCTTCTTAATGAGTATAAAAGTATGAGTAGCAAGGGATATTTATTAATGTATAATCACATTTTCCAGCATTTTACTTCTTAATCATTTTTTATGGATATTACTATATCTTCTTAATGACATTACAGGTTATATACCATAAGCATGATAAATGAAATACATTCCCGAAAACTTAATGCAATTTTTTTCATCATATTAGGCAAAAGTCTATGTACACTGCACCAAAAAAAAAAAAAAAAAAAAAAAAGAGTTAGAGAAAGAGAGACAGTTCTATATCTCGTTCTACTGGGTCGTTGACGAAATTTAACTTGCGCTTTTCATGTCTTGAAAGCTCCACTTAGGATATGCATTAGATTTATATATATTCACACTAAATGGAATTAAGATCATACAAAATTGTTCTAATATAGGTATTTTTACACAAAATCAGACTTTTTCTGAAATGACATGCCAATTGTGTTTCCATATTTCGATTCTATAATGCAAATTATACCAAACTGCCAAGTAAAGACCATCTTTTCATTTAATTTGATGCTTGGCAAACTCATTTGTTCCTTGTTTAAAGGCAAATGTCCTTTTAGAACTGCACTAAAACATTCTATATATGTAAATAAAATTTAAATCTCACTCCATTATATATAAAAAATTAATAAAAATACTAGTTATATATGAAAAAATTAAGTATTTTTTCTTAAGGTGGGAGCATTCAAACTTTATCATAGCATATTCTATGTTAACATACAATTATCTATTAATTGATTTGTCATAATTATTCAGTTTCTTAAATTAGCAATATTTTTATTCATTATAACACTATTCAGTATCAGACATTAATATTTTTTATATTAATTCTCAAAAATACAATTTTATATCCTTTTTCTGTACCAGTTTTTCACAACTACCTCCCTTATTTTTCTTACTGTACTCAAAATGCACTATTTTTTTATTATATTCTATGCCAATTTTTCAACATTATTTCATGCATTTAAAAATTTTATCAATACGTTTTTGATGCAAACATAATTATGAAAAGTTAATTCTTTTGGTACCATAGCATTTTAATTTTATATTTTCACCAAACTGCTCCTTTTTTAAAAAACCAGTATAGTGATAAAACAACATTATATGTTAAAATTTCATTGTAAAACCATGCAGACCCTGTGATTGAAAACCAAACTTATAGTCATAAACAGATTTAGTAATTCCCAAGATAATTTCTCCATTATGTAAAAGGTAATATAAGTAGATGGCTGAATAAACTTCCATCTAACACTTTTGCGGATGGAAACACATGAAGTCCATTAACCAAGTCTTTAAACAACTGTAGCAGTAATTACATTTAATAACATTCCGGTGAAATACTGGAACACATCCTGTCCAACTAAAAGACGTGATGATTTATTTAGTTGTCGATAACTTGATGTTAGATGAGAGCTTGAGTAGGAGAGGCACCAGTTCACTTTTTAATCATGGCCAAAATGTTTTAGATGTTGCTCGCACACAATAGAAAACAACTTAGTCCGTTTATTATCCAAAACGAAAAGAAAAAAGTGTACAAATGGGGTTCCATCAGTGTTAATAAGGTTTCAGTAATGGTGTTTATGATTGTTTCAGGATTCTCTTACAATGGGAAATTTAAAATATAGAGAGTTGAAATCAGCTCCATGTACTATCAGGAGAAAGATTTTACAGAAAAACAGGTGTATCTGATATTTACAGAAAAACCTCCCTTTCCTTATCCCAATGACTTTCAAAGAGTGAGACCTCATCGAGATAAAGCAACAAGTCATACTTCAAAATGTACCACTGCATTCCTTGAAAAAAAAATTAAGATTGATACAGATATTGTATATATATCTTTCCAACATATTCATGTGAAGTCCCCTGGTGTTTCACCTATAAATTGTTATGCCTTTGATCTCTTGAAAAGAGCTCTTTCTGAATGCAAAGCCACCATAACTGATGGAGTCTGGAAAGTAGTGGAGAAGGAATGGAAATCACCATGCAGACTTAGGTCTCAGAAATCAAATATTAACAAAAAATACTCTTTATATTTTAAAATTTAATTAAACAACTCTAAAATCATTCTAAAAATGGGTAAGCTTCCTTTGTAGTAGCATTAGCAAAAATAAACTAAAAAAAAATGTGTTTTAATATTAATGCTGAAAATATACATCATTGTGGCTATTAGCTGCAAATAACTAATATCTGTGGACTGATGACTTTGTTCTTTAGAGAGCTATCCTCACTTTCTTTTGTGCAAATGATTTTTGTAGTTGAACGAATTGTGTGGAATAGAAAATTCAATTTCTTCTAAATTCCTCTTTTGTTTGTTACTCCCAGGGCCAGCACTAGACTTTTTGCCACCCAATGCAACGCCTCGAATCCAATAATCTGCCACTCAATTCTTTCTTACAATTTGGCTGCCTGGTGCAGCTGCTCTGGTTACATATGCTCTGGTTACACATGCTCTGCCGCTGGCCATGACGAATCTAAGAGCATTACAAAAGGAACAAAATGTGTTTCAAATCATAACAATTGGATTATTTATTTATACAGATGTTTTAAACATTTATACAGATGTTTTAAACATTTGGCTACTAAGCCTTTAGTCTTAATCTTGCTTCCCAATACTTAAGAACAATAGAATTAAAAAATAATAGTGCAGTGCATTTGTCAATATGCTCCTTATCCATGGGCTGTCCAGAGTAACACAGAGTACAGACTGAAGAATCCTTAAATCGAATTTTAAAAAGATGGGCATTCAAACAATCGGCCCCAGTCAAAAGATGAAATAATGCCACGGCTATAGGGCGAGTAAAATCTGGAATAACTGTCTTTGAAATAGTTAGACACTCCCAGGCCTTTCCCTTTACTTCATTTGATAGGTAGGAAGCAAACCTTCTCTTAAATTTTAATTTAATTAGGAGTTTTACAGAAAAGTCATATGGTTATTAGTGGTTTGTAGAATAGTCGTTCCTTTCTTTGCCAGGAAATCATCTCTTTCATTTCCCTCGATTCTACAATGAGCAGGAATCTACTGCAAGACATTTGAGTCAGCCAGTGTTTAGAATCTTTCTACATCTGTAAATTCATTCGGAAGTACAAACTTTATTGTTGGAGATAGCTTGCAAAGCGGCTTTGTTGTCAGATATAATGACAGCCCGAGGGAAATTACTCTTCCAAGCACTTAATTCAGGGTTCTGCAGTACCTGGAAAACTGAGAAAAGTCAGGGAATTCGAAAATTGTCCAAAAAAGTCGGAATTTAAATATTTTAGTCAAAATTTGGAAAGTCAAGGAATTTCATATAGTGATTCCTCCCAATAAAGGATTTTCACACCAATGTTAGAAGCAAGCACTTTCTTGGTGAATTATGTATCACGTGAGCATTATTCGGGCAGCTTGCATACGGCCAATTTTGGCATCTGCAGTCAGATTGTCTTTTGGAAAGCCAAAGTAAGTTTCCAGCAACTTTGGTTTCCGGTAACTTCAAGAATCGAGAGACTCTCGTGCACATATGCAGTGCATGTTGAACAAAAGAAAATAACCTTCACCTTCCCATTCTCATTTAATGTGGCTTCTTTTAGATTTATTTATTATTAGTTAATGATACTTTCAAATTTTGGGCAGTTTTCTGCAGCAAACTGGCAACTAATTCTAACAGTACGATGACATACCATCACGAAATTTTATGCACATATTTTTTGCTTTTGTATGCTGCTAAATAAATATAAAATACCTAAATTTATTTCAAAATATCATTAAATAGATTTCTGTCTTTCGTTTAGCTGCAAAAGGTCTGCAAAAAAAGACATTTTTTAATCCAGATTGGGCAGATTCTAATCTCAATCTTCAGTGGACAAAACAACTGCTGTTATACAAGTAGTATACTTGTAGTTATAATAGTAATGCTTTGGGGATTATATATATGTGTGTGTGTATGCATAAGCCATATGTAATTGGCAAATTTTTGTGTTTTCAAGTGATACCGTAATTAATTTACCTCTCTGCACAGCCAATGTGCACTACGCTGATAGACTGGAATTTTCTTTAAACACACCTGGAAATATCAGGGAATTTCATTCTGCTGTTTGAGTGACAACCCTGTTAATTGATTCAGAGCAATAAATATAGCCTCAACTTTAACATCAAAATTGGTAGTACAGTAGAATTCCAGAAATCCGCAAAGCTTGGGACCAGAGGTTGTGTGGATTGTAGGATTTTGCGGATATCAGAACAGAAAAGATAAATCATAATATTCAGACTAAAAATGCAAAATAAATAAGGCGTATTAGATATATTTAATTAAATTAT